TCGACAATCCATCGAAAGGATAACAACACGAACATTGCTTCAGCTGGAAAAAGTCATGCTTAGCTGGAGATACTGGGAACACCACCCTCTGATAATGTATGAAAAACATATCTTGACAAATCCGGATTGCCCCTGGGATTAATTTTGGATGCCCCAAGTTTACTGCTGATAAGCTGCGTGGTGCACGACAATTCTTGCGAATAGCTTCACTTTTAACATGCCCCAAGCTATCTGGTTGATGAGGAGAAATCGTCTCAAGAGGATTTTACAAAAGACCTGGCATTCACCATGCTCTGGTGTCTTCAAACTCTTAGAGGAATTCATCAAATCTCGACGTGATTGCCCCGGATTGACTGTAGTTGGCACAACAAAGTCTTCAAATTTTGCCCCAAAAGAGTAAACAAGTTGGGAAAGCATTAATTGGGAGAAGCAACATGTTCGTGCTTACGGTCTTCAGGTGACATGCCCCTGGATATAATTTTTTCTTGAAATGATTCGCCAATTACTCAACATAGTCTCAGGCCTTAAAAGAATAAACTCATCACTGGTGCTTATATGTGAGTTTCCTTGATATCAAACAAATGTTTTGCAGTTAGAAGATTTTATTATGAGAATGAAAATTCTAATGCAACAGTTATGTAAGTCTTGAAGATTTTGAAAAGATATCGCACAAATTTTGCGAGTTAGAACATCATTTATTTTTGTATAGGAAAAACATATGATACCAACATAACTATTTAGAACATTCATGGGAGTCAGGAACACTATCTCATTGAAGTATGCTTTCAAAATAACCTTTCTTCAATTAGGACTTTTGAAGGTTGTAATGTGGTCTGGTTCATGGTTTTAGAAAAAAGGATTTAAGGCTCAAAGTATTCGGTGCCCACCCCCTTCATGATGTTCTCCAATCCTATGTTCAGTTAATTCAACATGACCGTTCATCTCTCAAAAGGATTTTGTGACGATTAAGGAAACGACGAGGCTTTCGGAGTAGAAACCACCCTCATGTCTTCGTGTTTGTAGTCACCAATTTATTCTTTGTTGAGGACTTTTCTTTGCAGTCCTTTTCTTTGCAATTTTTATTTTCCCTAACTTTTGCCTGAACTAATTCTTTTGAATTGATAGTCCAGCGGGATGCCTTAATTTTGCCTAAGTCACACGTTTTCATGTTTTTTGACTTCGCAGGCTTTTTCTTTTTCTTGATTTTTGACTTTTTGAACAAAATGTGTGACATTAGCTTGTCTTTGCTTGTTGAGAGGATTGTGATTGCCTCGTTTCTTGATGAATGAGGGATAACATTGTGGTTCCACATCCTCTAGATTCATTATACATGAATGATAGCCCTCGTAGTTTCTCTTCAAAAAACATCTTCCTTATGAATTTTGAACACTCAGTCAGATTAACTAAAAACTACCCTGGCCCAGGTTAAAATTCAAGGTTTTTTCGTATAGAAAAGAAACTTCTGCTTCAAAGGCTCAAAAGGGGTTAGCAAGGGATTATCTTCCTTATATCTCCGGTGTTTAGGGATTTGAAACAATGCCTGTACATCATCAGCAAGATTTTATCCAAAAGCAAACAACCAGAGATTTTGTGTTCTTTAGATCATCATCCTCCCTTCAATCTCTGCCTAGGCAAGAGAATGAGCAACAATTTGGTATCATAGTGCAAAAGCAATTTAAAATTTGAAAACAAACATGAGTGAAACGAATGAATTTCTTCAAGACAAACATACTCATTGTATTAAGATAATCATTCAGATGCAAACAAGTTCTTACATGCAAAAAAATGTTTTGATAAGCAAGAAAAATTACAAAAAGCATAAATAAGTGAATAATCTGGGAAGGCTTTCCATCTGGACTCGAATCACCGAAAACATCCTTCAAAACTCAAAGTGACCATCAATCGTGTTTACTCTTCGGCACGTGCTTGACTTGAACTTCAAAACCAACGTCCTTGAATGACAAGATACCACTTCTGACCAACTTCTGAACCTCAATCTTCAAAGCAAAGCAACCCTTCAAGTCATGCACAGGAGCACCTTGATGAAAATTACAAGCCAAATCAGCTTTGTAGTACCAATGTATCTTCTCAGGAACCTTCGGTGGAGGTCGGGTCTGAACCAAATTCCTCTGCATCAGGATAGGGAATAACTCTGTATAGGTAATTGGAATTGGATCAAACTGGGTTTTCCTCTGATTAGGAACTTGTTGATTCTGTTGATGAATAGGAGAAACATGATGATTCTGACAATGATTATTTCTTCCTCTGGTTCTCTTCTTGGAAAAGTTATTATCAAACTTCTTCACACCCTTAGCTGAGCTACCATCTTCATATGAACATCCCTTCCCAACATCTTCTTCTAGACGCACTCCCACATTCACCTTGTCAGGAAAGTCACTAGGCGCATTAACTATCACCTTCTCATGAGAGAATGATTTTAGAGTTTCAGTGAAGAGTTTTATCATTACTTCGTCCCTCCTAGAAGGATTGACTTAGCCGGCAACCAGAATTTCAACCAAACCAGTTAAGCGCTCCACACTAGCTTTCAAAATACTCATCTCTCTACGGAGTTCAGAAACCTCTTGCTTGATATTCTCCATTGTTCTCTTAGCGCGAGTGTTGTACTGGTGAGACCAAAGGAAAAATTAAGACTTGGAAAAAGACCTTTGAAAGTGAAACAAAAAATGTAGAATGATGTATGATATGCAAAAGAGAGTTTTTATTTGATTTTCAAAGAACTTAAGATATTAAGTTGTAAACATCAAAGTATGAAGATAGAAGATGAATTTTAAATTGGCTCCAAACATTGATCAAGTTATCATCAAGATCAATCATCCATTTTGGTGGATTAGGGTTTTCGCCCTATCAACACCCAAGATCCATTGAGCTTGACGAAACTTGTGATGTTTACAAAGAAAGACCTCCAAATTCCTTCAAAGTCAAGTGAAAAGGGTTTTATGGATGCATGAATGCATGGCTATGCAACAACCACAAGCAAGGTCACAAATAGAGTCGAAAGGTTCAACGTCACGAGCATGGAGTCAAGGTAAAGAACATCCCCAAGGTATGTACTAACGGTTTAATCACACCTGTAGAACAAGGTTCTAAGAGTTCCCGGAGTCTACATTCCTCCTTCGGATATTACCAACGTCTTGATTACTCAATAATCAGCAATATTCTCAAGAGAAACTCATCCGAGCGTAGCATCGCGTAACAATTACTTCCGGATTACTCCGTTATAATCTCCGCGCTACACCTAAAAGGCCAAGATGGGTTAGGGTTCTACGGTTCTCAGCTTCTCTGGATCCCAGGTCGAAAATAATAATGTCTTCCCGATTACTCGGTAAACAAATATTACGTTCAAAAGGGCCTTCCGCTGATTGAGGGATCTCATGCCTCCTTCTTCGGGATTACTCCCTCAAAGTTAACATGACTATACCGTCCGTCCTATTCCTAAGTGTAACTTAGTCCGGGTATAGGACTTGTCCTTTGTAAATATTATCAACACCCAAATAATCACAATATATACATATAATCAAACAATCAAATAATGATAAAACAGATAAAACAAATTAGGCTTAACCCACTTAGGGATGAACCAGCAAGAGGTCAATCTGTCCCCAGCAGAGTCGCCAATTCTGTAGCGGTGAAAATCGGAGATCAAGCTATTAATTAACTTGACTCACAAAAGCAAGAGTCGCCACCGCGCTTTATTATTTCCAAGGGAAAAGGGAAAAGAGCGAAATAAAACCCTAAAATATGCAATGTATAATAATACTTAAAAGTAATGAAAATACAATGCGTTTTGAAAAGAGATCGAGAGTTCGGGGGTTGGTTATACAATGGGAAGGTATTAGCACCCAATGCATCTGCGGTACTCCGCAGGAACCTTTTGAAATATCTGTTTTTGGTTAAAATTGTTTGTTTGATTAAAATGGTTCGTTTGGCTAAAAATAGGCGTGGACGAGATTTTTGAAGATACGACGACCTAGTGTCGAAGTTTTGACTTAAAAGGAGTGAGTTTGAAAGTGGAGTCTTTTGGGAAAATTGTCTTAAGTTTGGAAAAATAGTAAGCAAGCAAAACATGAATGAGGCTATTCGCACGATTGTAGAAGATGTATTTGATGACGTGAAGTCAACTGAGTTGAAACATTTCCCTTGGAATTAATCATAAGCAGGTAGATCTAATGTTCGAGTAAGAAATCATAAATAGTTAAAATCCACGAGAAATGAACAAGGTAGATAACAAGATAAATAGTAAGAAACTAAGTGAATGGACAAAGAAGAATCATGAATAAAAGAAAAGTGTAATTAAAAAAATATCTAGACTAATTTGAAATTCTAAGGTTACTAAGTAAACTAAACTTAAATTCTAAAGTGTCTAACTAAATTAAATAAAATTTTGAAGTTATTAACTAAATTAAAACTCTAAAGTTACTAACAAAAATTCGAAAGTTATTAAATTAAATCTAAAATAAATTAACACTCTAATATTACTGAATTAGGTCTAAACTAAATTAATTCTAAAGTTGCTAAATTACATCTAAACTAGTTTAAGTATAAACTAAATTCATTATAAAATTACTAAGTTAATCTAAACTATATTAATAATAAAATTACTAACTTAAATCAAAACTAAATTAATTTTAAGATTAAATTCTAAAGTTATCAAAATATATCTAAACTAATTGGAAATTCTAAAGTTATAAAATAGATCTAAACAAATTAAAAAATTCTAAATTAATACTAAACTAAATCTAAATATAAGATTTACTAATTTTTTTTTATATTTTTTTTTATGGGCTATCATCTACTAAGAGATAGTATTAGAACTCACGTGCAGTACTTTAACAGAAGGAACGGTACTTAAGGAACTGTGTCAGTTTTATCCTAAAATTTATTAAATACAAGATTCAGTTTTATCCTAAAATTTATTGGATACCAAAAACAAAACGGTTCTTACAACCAAAGTATCATTTTTGTAGTGCAAGCAATTAGCTTTAGACCTTTGATGGAATGCTTGCTTCACCCTCTTTAGTGGTCTTGTCTTCTACAAACTTATCTATGGATACATGTAGTTCATCAGTACCTCCAACAGCTCTCATGGTGTAGAAGTATGCTCCAAACACAAAAGTTGTCAAACCTCCAGCAACTATGAAATTCTTTGTCTTGGGCGCTAGGCTACTAAATCCTAATATTCCATCCATTTCGAAGATAGCAAGAAGAGGGATGACGGAGAGAAGAGATTAGAGAATCGACGGCACGATTACTAGGTGAGAGAAGGAGGTGATTTTAGGGCTTATTTGAATTGATGAAGAGTACAGGAAATGAAGAAGGATCACAATTATATGCAATTGAGATGAGATCGGAAATTACCGAATCGTGTCGACATGGAGCTGCAATATGTTAAACATTCACGGCGAGACTGAGAGAAGCTGCGAGCAAGTTGGTCATTGCTGGTACTCAATCTCAACACCTAAAAGTTAAAATACAAAAAAACAACTAGAAAGCTATAAGACTATGAAATAGCCTCAAGAAATACCAACAGCAAAATAATTTTAATTTCATAACAAAATATCTGAAAGCTGATTTCTTCTTTCCAGCCTTGGCAGCATCGCCAGCCTTGGTCTTCTTAATTCCGCGAATCTTCTTGGCCCTGTTCTTTCTTTCCTTCGTTTGCTTCCTTGACTTCTCAACCTTGGTATCAAACCCATTCCTGATAAGTCTGTATTTTGGTTCATACTTCTTAGCATTCTCAACAGAATCATATATCAAACCAAAACCAGTTGATTTGCCACCTCCAAAATGAGTTCTGAACTTAAAGACGAAAACAGTGTTTGGGTGACTGGGTCAAGCTAGAGCGTTAGAGCAAATAACGTATCAACACCAAAGCATAGATCAACAATAAAATAAATGTTTGGAGTAAATGTATGGGTCACACTGGCAGCAAAAACATGAGAAGTTAGATCTGCAAAGCGGTTCCCAAAAATTTGATTTTGCACTTACAATTAGGCGATTAATAACATTTCCCATTATAAAGCCTTTTTCCAGTTTAGTGTAGAACCTAATCTAACCATAGCAAAATTCAAAACTATACAATAAAAAAGAAATGAAGCAAAAAATATTTCAAACAAGCTGAAAAAGAAAGACGTAAACAACAACAGCGTGCAAACTAGGCTACGGTGAAACCGCGGAGTTTCTGTGACCCGGTGAGAGGTTCAACAGGTTGTGTATCTTTGAGGTGATTTTGGAGCGGCAATGAAATTTGGTGAAGCGTTACAGTGGGTTTTCTAGCGGAGGTTGTTGGTAGATGAAGAAGGGGGTTATTAAAGTAAGAATGTGAGTTACTGTTTGTTTTTTTTTTCTTTTCTAATAAAGGAAAGAGATGAGCTATTAAATAGAAGAAAAAATAAGAGGAAATTATTTCAGCAATCTAATTCGTTCACCAATTTTCATAATCCTGCGCAACTTCTATCAACCAATCAAAATAAAGCTTAGTTCAAAAAATAATTTTAATGACCAAAAAGCACTTTAATGATAAAGATAACGTAAAAACTGAAAAGAGAAAAAAGTAATGCAATTAAAAATGATATTTTTTGAATTTTTCTGACTAAAAAATAGAGACTCGAAAATGACCAAAAACGATGAAAAATGGACAAAAATCCAACTGAAAAAATGAAGTGAACATATTAAAATAAACTACATGTCACAAAGATTAAAGAAAAAATATTCAAGAAGTCAAAAATAAAAAATAAAATAATAATAAAAATATCAGACTAAACAGACGTTTAAGGTTAAAAACGAGACTTCGAACTGTACCGAAAAAATAAAGCGAGCATACCGTCATAATCTACGCGAAGCGCAGATTCATAAAATGATCGGTAAAAGGTGAAAACTTGAAATATTTTCTCGCTACTTTCCCGCATAGTGTCGAATCGCTTTTAACAGTCTGTCTATAAAACCGAAATATTGTATCATCGACATATAAACAACTTGGAGCAGTGCAAGAAAATAGTAAACAGATAAAAATGAATGAAGTGAAATGTCGGGTATTTACAACTGAAAGACGATGCAAACTTTGATTTAAACTAACTTTTCTGATCATCTTAAATACGACTAATGATGCAAAATATGATGAATGAAGATATTTACTAATGATTGTGACCAAATGAAAAAATATGGTATGAATGTGCGACTAAAACATATTAGGGGCGAAATTTAGGGTGCGACAGTTGTGCCTTGATGAATCAGTCTTCGAGAATCCACAATCAACCGTACTTCTGGCTTGGGAGACTCAAAACCTTAATTGAGGCGCGACACCTGATGCTCTTGATTCAGACCTGTCTCTGCACATGAAACAAACGAAAACATGAACATACACCTTTGTATGCGATTAGAGATTAGTGATACATAGGCTCAAAATGTTCAAAACACTTGACAATCTTCGCATAGTCAAAGCCCGAAGGTGAGACGTTAAAACCGACAGTATTTCGTGACGTTGGCTTATGTTTAAAAAATGCAAAAATAAATATGGGATCTTAGGTCAAAAATTGGGGTACAACAATAAGCATATCAAGTATCCTTATTCACACGTTATAACATAAAAAATAATTACCAAATGCAACACAAATACAAATGTACTCAACAAATGTACTCAACAAATGACTCAACATGCATGTGGTACGAATTATGAACACTTTGATCTATTTCACTCCATGATCCCCAACATGGGATCGAATCCCTTATGGAACCAGAGCACACCAAAATTGCCACCATCACCATAGGTAAAGCTTCACCAATCCCCCATAATAGGAATTAATTACTCACCCTCGATCCATCACCATAGGATCAAGGCTCACTAAAAAGAATCAAAGTTCTAACAATATGAATGCATGGACTCACAACATGCAACAACAACACATACACATTGGCCCCTTTTCTGACCGTGTATGTCACCCGACAACATAATCAACATAAACATAGCATATGCATAATTAAATGTACAACATTTTTAACAATCACCACAATTATTTATACATAATAATTCATTATCCACACATATAAGCATCTTCAATAAAACATCATTATAACATCAACAGTGTGACAAAATCATTAATATTCAACATTAACATTGTTAATAGATTATAATTAAAATTCTCACATCATAACATCAACATAAAATAACATCAACAAATTTGAACAGTTCTCATCAATTATTCATATTATCACGATTCATTCATCCCATGAAATTTATTCCATTTGATGGTAAATTATGTTAGATTTCTAACGCTTCAAACGGGGCGACATTTGGACTTACGAATCAAACTTTATGGCCAAAACACTTTTGGCCAAAAAAACACGAACAACAGCTTTCCTGCTGAGCACGGCCGCGATGGACTGAATGCAGAATTTTCTATGTTTTTAATCATTGGAGGCCTTCTAGACCTCCAATTTCGAATCCGTAAAAACCCAAACGCTCAGAAAATTACAATCTATGCAATACCTTAATCATATCAAGTTAATTCACAATTAAATCATGAATCATTCATCAAATTCATGCCCTAAAACATCTAATTCACACCAATTTGATCATAATTTAATTGATTTATAGACACCACAACAACTCATCAATACACCTAAAATTAATCCATATTATAGCATATCAAAAACATTGTTATCATCATTATTCAATATAAAATTTAAATTATACTCAACCCTTTCATCACACTCCTATTATTGAACCAAATTCCCACCCTTACCTTTTAACTTCAGAAAAATTCAATAAAGATGATGATCAAGGATCTCTTCTCTCAAGCTCCAGCAAACCTTCTCCCAAAGTGTTGTTTTTTCTATTCTCTTTATTTCATGTATTGATAGATTGAGACTCTTTTTCTTAATTCTTAGAATATATATGTCATTCTAATTTCTATTGTTTAATTGGACTTTTCCTTTATTACCACAACTTACCAACTTACCCTTAATTCCTCTGCACACTTTATTTTCCTTAATATTTTATTATTCTAACATATATTCACTTAACTAAATAATTAATCTTATTATTTAATCACTAATAACTCTAAATAATTATAACTAGTTTCTACACCACCTAATTATTTTAATTGACCCAATCCATCAATAAATCAAAATACATAAAATCACACATAATTCACAAATAATTTGATAAAAATGAATAATTGAAAATGAGGTGTTACAATGCTCATAATCTATTATGATGGTGACTTAATGAAGAGTAATGACTCTTAATCAAATCTTTCCAAAATGGAAATTTGTAATAGTTTATTTAGGTCATCCAATCGATTGACATAAGGATCCAATTGATTGGATCATTAATTTTTCCCATGAATCCTTTCTTTTTTCGTGCCAACCTTAAGCCTATTAATAGAGGTCTTTACCTTTATTTTTCACATCCAGAATCATGAGCTATATCACTTTCCTCACTCCCTCTATCTCTCTCTCCCTCTAGAAATTTCTACTTTCTATTACTTTAATTTAGCCACAACGCTTTGAGAAAATTATTGTGTTTAAGTGAGGAATTTTGTTTTAGAAATGGTGACATTGTAAATTCACCAAGAGTTATTTTTATCTTGTTTGAATATTTCTTTCTTAGGAAGTGTTTGTTTGAGTTTAAAGTTAAACCCTTTAAAATCTTTGTTTGGGGGATTTAGTATTAATAAATCATATTTTCGTTTGTGAGTTGAGATACTTAAGTAAAAACTCTCTTTCTGGGTTCGTGAAGATAACCAATAAAACATTTCTCTTTGGTTCTTGAGCTCAGCCCGGTGTATAAGCTCTACTTTGTTCAAGATCAGTCTAGTGTAAAATATCAATTTCGTCCATGGTTAGCCCATGTAAAACCTTAATTTGGTTTAGAGGATAGCCAGTTCAAAACACCACATTGGTTTGAGATAAGTTTATATAAAATCTTAGTTTAGCTTGGGGACTAACGGCTCAACGTTTTTGTTCATATTTTGAAGGAAGACTAACTGCTTTAGTTCACTGCTCGCTGTTTGGTTGGAAGTTAACTTGAAACTTCATTTTTCTTGTATAAGGATTTATTGAGCTTAACCTACTAAAATATCATAAGCATTATTGCATACTCTCAACATCATGTCTACGGGAGAGGAGTGGGTCACATCGTTTAGACTGAAGCTTTATAAATCATGGCGTCATCTGTTTTCTCTTATCTCTTTCATTTTCCCCGTATGTTCTTTACATTGATTTTCCACTGCAATATTCAAACATTTTCTTGAAAATGTTTTTAAATTTTGATTTAGAAAACAATTTTGCTTTAAAATATCATATTTCAAACCCCTACGATTCACCCCCTCTCTTGTATGTGGAGTCAAATGTTTGATAAGTGGTATTAGAGCTTAACTGATATTCAAATGCTAATCATCTCAAGAGGAGAAGGACTTCCAATACTTTTTCTAACAAGAGATCCTTCCTAAACACACCTCCATTGTTTAATGGGGATAGTTTTGAACTATGAAACTCTAGAATTAAAATCTTCTTTCAAATTTTTGATTTAGAATTATGAGAAACAATAATCAATGTCATGTTTATCTCTTCTCATCACATGAATGAAGAAGTAGTAGATAAACCCGATTTTCCTTGGACCATAGAGGAAAAGAGAAAATGTGAAATTGATTTCAAAACCAATAGCTTTTTATTTATGTCTTTAGATGATAATCAATTATTTTATGCTCACAATTGCAAATTTTCCAAGGAAAGGTGGGATACTCTTGAAATGATATATGAAGTTTCTCTAAGTATCGAACAAGAGAAAATTAACACATAACGCACTGGGACCCAAGAAAATCTGGGTACCAAAGATGGAAATCTAATATGTTTTATTGGGATGCTTTGCAGCTTTTATGAAGACGTAGTGCATATTAAATGAAGTTGTTCAAATCAAAGAGTATACTTTCGAGTATAAAATAGTTTTTAATGTGTAATTTATGATCAAAGGATGTTAGTTGGTGGTTGTGATACGGTGGGAGAACTGACTTGAG